GCTTCGAAACAGGGCATAGGATGTGTTCTGATGCAGAAAGGAAAGGTGATAGCTTACGCTTCTAGACAATTGAAACAATATGAGCAAAACTACCCAATCCATGATCTAGAATTGACTGCGGTAGTTCATGCCCTCAAGATATGGCGTCATTACTTATATGGAAATAAGTGTGACATTTATACTGATCATAAGAGTTTGAAGTACTTTTTCACTTAAAAAGAATTAAATATGAGGCAGAGGAGATGGCTAGAGCTAGTAAATGATTATGATTGCACTATCCTTTACCACCCTGGTAAAGCTAATGTAGTAGCAGATGCTCTTAGCAGAAAGGCGATTGGACAATTAGCAGTACTAATCACTATGCAGGACCAATTGTTAAAGGATTTCGAAAACTTACATCTAGAAGTAATTGTTCCACCAACCCAAACTATCACCAGGATAGCGGCTCTAACGATTCGACCAACACTTAGGATAGCGGCTCTAACGATTCGGCAGAAGATGTAGAGCTCCCCTCTATTGGGATGAAGTAGGTGAACGAAGAGTTTTAGGACTCGAAATAATTGAGGAAACTAGTCGAGCGGTTGATAAAATAAGAGCTAGAATCAAGGCAGCCCAGAACCGACAAAAAAGTTATGCCGATAAAAGGAGAAAAGATTTGGCATTTAATGTTGGTGATAAAGTTTTCTTAAAAGTGGCACCGATGAAGGGAGCTCTTCGCTTTGGAAAGAAAGGAAAACTTCGACCAAGATTCGTAGGTCCTTTTGAAATTTTGCAGAAAGTTGGAAATGCAGCCTATCGAATCGCTCTACCACCAGATTTGTCAGCAATTTATGATGTGTTCCACGTGTCAATGCTTCGACAATATGTGTCAGATCAAAGTCACGTGGTTAGTTATCAACCATTGGATATCAAACAAAACATGACTTATGAGGAAAAACCAGTAGCAATATTGGATCGCGGAATCCAACAACTGAGGACAAAGGAAATTCCGTTAATGAGAGTTCAGTGGAGAAACCATAATGTCAAAGAGTCAACTTGGGAAAGAGAAGAGGAAATCAAGATTAAGTATCCAGAACTTTTCAACTAAGTTCAAGGTAATTTCGAGGACGAAATTTTTATAAGGGAGGAAGGATGTAATAATCCGAATTTTGTGCTCATTTAATTTTTAGAATAGCAATTTAACTTTTCAAAATTTAGCATGACCAAAAAATTATTTATGGTTGCCAAATTTTGCATTGGTTGATTTATTAAAAAATTTTCCAAATAATTTGTTAATTAGGGGTTTGGGATAAATGTCCATTTTACACCTAATTACTAAAGTTAAACATTGTTTCTCCAACTTGGCTGAAAATTGATGAAACAATTTAAGCATGAGGTGTTTTAACTTAAGCATGTGGTGGCTAAAGGCATGCATAGGTGTTTAATTGAAGTTAAGGTTTTCTTTCATGCTGCCCACGTGTAGAATTGGTTGAAGAGTCACCCAAAATTTATCATTTTTTTCACCTATAAATAGATGTGTTGCTGCCCTTTATTTCCCTTACATGAAAAACAACTTAACACTTGTTTATAAGAGGGCAGAAAACATGAGGGAAGAAGAGGACCAACCTAGCATTTCTCAATTCGTTTTCAACCAAGATTTCTTCAAGTTTTATTGTAAGATACTTTCTATGCTTAAGTGATATGATTTCATGGTAATATTTATGCTTAAGCTATGCATGAAAAACCATAATATGAATGT